ATAAATACCTATCAGCTCCAGCGCACGACAACATTTTATTGATACGAATGACATGGAACGGATGAAGTCTCATACGAATGTGGAACTGGTCTTTACCGCAATGTTTAACCATGTATTTATTGGCACAAATACGTCCAGCTTCCAAAGCTTCAGATGACAATTGCTCATATTCATCAGATACCTATAAATAATGATTAATAATATACATTGGATAGTTATAATTTAAAATTACTTACGAGATGAACACATAATGGAAAATCATCTACTTTAGCCTTCTTTTTTCCCAAGTCGAAGATTCTAATTTTGGGATCTGGCACACCACGACAAAACCGTGATTTTGGGTACGGTTTGTTTTTGCAGTAACGATAACTATTAACATAAGAAATAAAGCTCTATTAATACAACAACACTGTTTTGTTTATGGAGTAAATTAATAGGTATTCTGGTCCAAAATTCAGAGATGAACTACAAATATGTTAAATAGTATGTATTATAATGAGACGAAATTTAATGCACTACATTATAAATYAGTTCAATACAATCCATTATAAATAAACTTATAAATAATCARGGTTCTACATAAATGTGGCAATTGAAAAAAGAAGAAATAGTAAGGTTTATTTATTTACCATCTTGCAGGACGACGGCCCATTTCTGTGAACAAAAGGTTAAAACAATTTATAATAAAACGCTTTTAATAAATACGACGCAAAAAAAGTCGCTAAATTGTAGGATTCAAATGGATAAAACTTTAACTTACTTGCTTCTAGATGTACCACCAATGATTCAGAAAGTATAAAAGATAAACCCTACAAAATATGTTTATCAAAAGAGAACGTTTGTAAAGCGTTGAGTGGAAGGTAGAACAATTTTAAGTTTCCAGAGAGATTATAGGCGCGTAGAAAGAGTAAATACTTCATGGAAGAAAGTATACCAAAAAGATTTAAAATACCGGGAAATAKAAAATACATTGGGTTTTTAAAAATATATTTTTATTTAATCTTTTATACATTTTTTTCAGGTATGTATGTTAATCAAATGGAAATTTTAAAAAAGAGTTATAATATTGTATTACTTTTAGTTAAGATTTCAGCAGTCTATGTTATATGATTTTATGATTAATGTAATAAATGTTGTAAAAATATACTATAGTATATATAATGAAATTAACCGATCATTGTAGAGGAGGATTCACCCTAATTTTGGGAGCCGCAAATTTATGAAGCAAATTTGAAGCGAACCACATTGTTAAGATACGTTTTTAATTTCATAACAATTGAAAAAAACATTTATTTTTTACACTGCACAAGTCTGAAATCATTATTTATCAATAAGTACACATCACGAAATCAGATCTTACTTTTGAGATGTGTTTTTATGTTGCATAAATTAATTTAAATCTACAATTATTAAAATTTGTGTCAATAGCACAAGAGCTACATGCTGCTTGCGAACCTCGTTGTGGTCACATCTATTGTAAGTATTAGTATAGTATAGAATCTATAGAGTCTATATGTACCTACCTAGCTAGCCGCTAGGTAAACGATAAATGTAGAATAAACGTAGTTTATTTATGAATAATATACGAGTATATTGTATTACGTATCGTCAACGTAAAATCTTTCTTCTTCTACTTATAAGTTATATTATAGCAATGTGAAACGAATTACATCTACGTATATACATACGCCGAAGTTATCCTTATTATTGTCTTATTGACCTTATTACAAACGTAGATTATACATTTATACGTGCTAATGTGCTATGTTTACTGGGTTTGAAGTAGTGTCACTGGATACCCTCTTGTATCACGACATAATTAAGCCTTGTAAAAATCTAAAACCATCGAAATTACCTATTGTATATATTATTTATTATAGATTGTATATTTCATCTTTTCTAAAATAAAAAAAAAAAAATAATAAAAATGTTTACTGGGAGTATACTATTGTATACTAGACCATCAGACTGGCAGACTACCAGAGGCGGACTGGTTCGGTGGTTTATTGTTATAGAGTATGAAGAAGTGAAGAACATTTTAATGAATGATAGCTGCCACTAAGAGTTTATCGTATTTACAGTAAATTTCTTTTAGAGTTACACTAAGAACCAAAATTAATTTTATCAAAAAAACCAGTTTTACTTAAAAATTCAATTTTTTTTTAATTTTTTCTGTGCTTATGAAAATCATTTGGAACTTTTATTATAAATCCCTCAAAGTACCAATAAGATTCACTTTCCAGATACAAAAAATGCTGTTGAAGAAAATCGAATAATTTTTCCCTAAAGTTGATGACAGAAACCAATAAAAAATAAAAAATTACTCATAATTATAAAATTAATGGATTCATCGCTCCGCTATAATAATCAAAATACAAATTATTTCAGTTTCTTAACGATTAAATGAATCTTTGCTATAATTTATCGTCATCTTATTTGGTGGAATGAAAATATTTTGTCAGCTTAACCTCCCTTTAGTCACCAACTAATTACACCTATGATAGTATAATGACTAAAACACGGCTCTGTTGACTGTTATGGTTACTATATTGGGCTCTATCGATAATATTGGTTTTTAAATTTAGAACTATATGTATTTGAAATAATTTTCTTCATASACCTTACTTCCTTAATTTTTCAACAGTGAAAATAACAAAAATCAATACATGTTGAATCTTTTCAAAATCTAAAATTATCAAATTAAAATAGATTACATATTTACAATTTTACTTTTGAATTGATGCGAGTCTGTTTGTATTAGGTATATTATAGGTACATAACAGTAGCGTAGCTATGAATATTAATTTTCTTTTGGGAGGGGTGGGGAGATAAGAGGTACAATCTTTTATTCCTTACTTAAAAATCATTAAAATGTAAAAGTTTAATATAATCAAAAATAAAAGGCATTACCTACCTATGCAAAAGAATAAAAAGCATTTCGTGGAAGGGGTATCCCCCTGATACCTCACCACACCATAAATATTAAATACACTACTGGTACCTACTTCCAAAGATAAAAGAGTGAACCTTATGGATAGAATAGACAAATAAGTTTAAAAAAAATWTATATAATCTAGACCAGCGGTTCCCAAACTTTTAGGATCACAGAACCCTTAGGAAATAGTTTGTGTTTTGCAGAACCTTAATGTCTTTACTTCCAACTCAACCCCATTTCTTCTAAAAAAAACCAGTACTACAAAAAATGTTTCAGACATCATATACATCTGACGGAACCCTTGAGATAGTCCCGCGGAACACACTTTGAGAAACGCTGATCTAKACCCTCGGCAAGATGGCAGCATGGACCATTAGGCTTACAGAAAAAAAAATTATTACAAAATATACGAGGAGCTTATTCTAGTTATTAAATTTAAATTTTAGTCTAAAGGTTGGAGGCTGCGACAAAATAGAGACTAATAAACTTATAASTTATAAAATACTACCTATTGAATCAAGTATACATTATTGGATTAATAGTTAACTCGGTAAATTACTTGTGGTCATGATATCATAATATCATATGAGAATTTATCTGAAAACTGATTATTTTCATTAAAACTCTTTAAATATTTCAAGCTGTATACAAATTAAGTTAAATAATA